ACTTGTAGGGGCAAATTCTACCTCTCGCGTGTGATGGCAAATTCCATCTGGCTCCCTCAGCTCTCAGGAGTGGCTCTTTAAAAAGTTATGGCTGCTGTCACTGTTCTCAGCGGCAGCTGCGATGCCTGCGGGGGGGGGGTAGTGAAACGTTCCCTTGCCTCCTGGAGCCCTGGGGTGGTGGCCTTGGACTCGTAGGGGCAAATTCCACATCTCACGTGTGATGGGACATCACAGGCGACAGGTCATTCTGGCTCCCCCAGGTCTCGGGAGGGGCTCTTTAAAAAGTTATGGCCGCCGTCGCTGTTCTCGGCGGCAGCTGCGAAGCCCGCGCGCGGGGGGGAGGGGGGGCGAAACGTTCCCTTGCCTCCCGGAGCCCCAGGGTTAGGGTTAGGAGCGCTGGGCCTGCAAAACGGCATGCAGAGCCGCCACCCCTCCTTTGTCAGGCTCCGCGCTAGAATGACAGCCTGAAAAAGGGCCAGCCGAATGTCAATTTTGGCCCCATTATATCCTATGGGCCATTGAAGTCAATGGCGAAAACATAGGGTATATTCTGGGGGCTGGAGGAGACGGAGTTTGAGGGAGAGGCTCCAAACTCGCAGGGTAGATGCTGGAGCCTCTTCCCAAGATACCAACCACGTTTGAAGAACATTGGACCAGGGGGTCCAATTCTACGGGCCCCCAAATAGGTTGCCCCTATCCCCTCCATTGTTCTCTATGGTGGGGGAAAGTAACTAGCATGGAGGAGCCCAGCTCGCCCAGGCTTCTTGCCTCCTGCTGCCTTGGCCCTCTGGTGCACGGGTGAGTCCCCAAAGTTTGACTCTTCCTCTACAAGTCTCTGGCACTGGAGGTATTCGCTTCCTTCCCTCCTGCCTGCTATGGCTGCATAATTGTGAGAGATTTCTTAACATAGTGTTCCTGCCAGGGAAGCTGGGGACCCTGCCCATGAGTCTCCATTTCATCCTCACAACAACCCTGTGGGGTAGGTTAGGTAGAGAAGGGGGGAGATTTGGCCCGGGGGCACTCAGCCAGCAGAGTGAGAATACAAACCTGGGTCTCCCCACATCAGTCTGCAACTCTGACCACTGTGCAGTGCTGCCTCTACTGATCTGTAATGTTCCAGAGGTGTTGTAATGTAATACTTAGTTTCTCAAACGAGTGTATGCCTGTCTGTTGGTCCACTTAGGAGTCTTGATCCTGGTTGTGTGGTGGGCTAGTTGTGGCAAATGGTAGGGAAGCTCAGTATTTCTGTATACAATTGTAGAGGCTTTATTGCAATGTGGTATGGCCTGATATTATGTTCTTATTCCAGTGTGGGGTGTGTGGGGGGCAATGGAAGCTGAGTGATAGGGTCTCTCCAAGTGATTGCCAGAAGTGAGATGCGTCCTGGTCTTCTGTCTTACAGATAATCTTACAAATAGTCCTTTGCATTTATATCATGCTTTCAACTTTAAAAGGATCATAATGCTGATTGTGTAAACTTAGGCAAATCACGAGAGGTAGAGCAGGAAGGGTTGCATCAGTGCTTAGTTCTTGTGGCCCTTTCTTACACGCCCAGGGAAATGCTGATCCCCACTTTGGGGCCAGGAAGCAATTATTCTCCAGGCTAGTTTGGCCCCCAGTGATCCT